GCGTGTTGTCAATGTCCAACAATTTCTAGTCAAGTTTAAACAAAGATGTATTGACATTGACGTTCAAAATTGGCTATCAGACCTTGGTAAATATTCTAAACTTGAAATGTACAGACAAATTAAGGTGCAGTTAAGCGAAGAAGATTATTTTAATGTAATTAATGTAAAAGCTTATTGCATAGCGTTATGCAAGTTCCGCTGTTCCAACCACGACCTAATGATTGAGTACGGTCGACATCTCAAACTTGACCGTAAGAATCGCCTTTGTCCCTTTTGTGTAATACCTAATATTGAATCAGAACTACATTTTTGTCTTGAATGTCCATTTTATCAGGACTTAAGAGAAAGTCTTATTCTAGAATTTTATTAATAATTCCCATTGAACAATAAGCTTATTTTATTATTCACATCACGGAAAATCACGGTCATAAATAATTTGGCTAAATTTATCTTTTTAGCTTTAAAGAAACATAGTTAATATTTTGCATAATTTGGATGTCCATCATTTAATATTTGCATAAACAGAAACTGTAATCATATTATATGGTGCTTCAGCGCGTATTATGTCAAGTTTCATGCATAATGGGCCGGTGGCCCCTTTACCGTAATAAACACACTCTCACTAAAATTTCCAATTTTTTAAACTTATCCTATCTCACACTTTGCTTTTAATCCTACGGTTGGATGGTGGGTCGGAGATACCCCAGCCTGTATAGACTACAACTGTGAGATATGCACGAGGAAGCTGGTTCTAGACAGTGTAATTTTGAATTTGTTTAAGAATTTTGAAAAACTGTCCAGCGTCTAAAGACATGAACTTGTGAGCGGGAAAAAAATACACACGATCAACCAGTGTTAACGATCCTGATACGTTACTCAAACAAAACAGCATGAGATCAGGTATACATGCCGAACGTTTTTTCCTGTATGTCATCGTACATATAGAACGACCGCGTAGCTGTAAACGCATAAGCGAAACGGCAGACAACTTGAAATAGATCCTTGAAGGGCATCAATTCTTCAAACAAAACACAGCAACTTTCTCCCACGGACCATAGAGTGTGCTAGGTTTGCTAACCCTTTTAACGCTTCATCATGGTTATCAAACACATTCGAGTGTATGAAGCGAACCAAAAACGAGAAGAGGAACGATCAACAATATTCCATAGCAATGGACCTTCGAACCAAAACCCTACATCACAGATACCTGAGGCAGAGGTGAGCAGAATAAAGGTTCGGGACACTGATCTTTCTTTCTTTTTGTTTATTTGTTGTGTTTGTTTTGTTGTTTTTTTGTCGGTGTTTTGCCGCACCGAATGGTGACTTCGTAAATTAAGACTTGAAAGTCTCTACAGATGAGCTAATCCACCCTAATCCACAATAAAAAAACAGGTAATACCACGTAAATGTTTAATGATTTATTCTGTATATACAATTGTAACCCGCAAGGATTTCGAAATATAACAGTTTATGTTCTGCGTGAACTGGGGCGAGACAGTTGTTGTGCCAACACCAACGAACCGAACTTGTTGAGCCCTTGTACGATTGTGACTTAAAGTATAAGATCGTCTGCACCGATTATGGTCACTTCGTCAATTAGACTAATAGGTCTCTACAGACGAGCTAATCCACCCTCCGAAAAGGACTCGATCTGGGAAAAAACGAACATGTAATACCACATAAATAATCAATGATTTATTCTGTATATACACTTGTAACCCACATAGTATAACTGTTTATTATCTGCGTGAACTGGGGCGAGACAGCTGTTGAGCCAATACCAACGGACTGAAGTTGTGGAGCCCTTGTACGTCTGTGACTGAAATGTCACGAAGGTAGTGGGACGCAAACACAGTATGTGACTTCCAAAAGCACCCTTTTGGTTGAAAGGGTGCAGTTACTGTGGAGGGCCATGGTGGAAGCAACCGCACGAGTCTCGTGAGGATTGGATGTTGTAGGTGGAGGCAGCCCGGCGAAAGTAATGCTCGCAGAATGATGGAGCGGAGTCAGAAGGATAGCGTCGTCCAAGAAATTTCAGATGTAGAAGCGGTTGACAATGGGATGAAAAACCTCTTCCGGGAACGGATGTGGAGGCGCAACGCATTGAGATATATTCGAACCAGTCACAAGGAGAGGTCTTCATGGTCGTTCGATCCCAAAATAGCCGAGAGCAGGGGAATCGTATATAGCCGGTCTGGTTGTTGGGGAAGTTGGTTCTCTGCCACAAAATCCCAACGAAGCCCCGAGGTAGGTTGCCAACGTAGACCCCTGAAGTTTCTGAGTCGAACGCAGGTGATGTAAGTATTCGGCAATCTGTTGAGGCGAAGCCGAGGTGGGAGTGGAAATATCACGAGCGCGACAATAAGTCTAAAAAGCCGTCCACTTGTGGTCGTAAAGGCGCCTGGTGGAAACACGATGGGCAGCAGAGATGGTCTTCGCTACCTGCTGGGAGTAACGTTGGAGGCAACGTTCTATGTCGGAACACTGCCCTGCTCCCCAACCGACGGTTGAAGCGTCGACGAACAGAGACCCCGTCAAGGAGACCCCGTCGCAAACGTTTGACGCGACCAGCCGCCATTGAAGATGAGCGGTAGAGAAATCCGCGTGTGACAATTGTTGATCCTGATAAAGGGCGCAAGAAAACATTGGAGAGGTTGCAAATGAAGTTGACCCCTTACAGTGAGCGCCTGCACCGATGTTAGGAGGCCCAGGAGTTGTTGCCATTGGCGCAGTTGAAGCGGCTGTTTGAGTGCTAACGGTACGAGATGTTGAATCTTCACCCATAGGTTGTGGGGAACGAACATCCGACCTTGTCGAGTGTCGAACAGAGCTCCTATGAATTGGAGACATTGAGTGGGAATGAGTTCCGACTTTTGTTTGTTGATTAGCCAGCCAAGTTGTCTGAGAAGACGCATTGTGAAGGCGAGTTGTAGAAGGAGGAAATCAGCATCTGCGTTCTAGAATTGAACGATGGTTACGAAGTCTGTTGTTGATCCCTGTGATCCCAACTCGTGGGTAGGATAGGTGGACAAGGGTCGGGAGGAGCCGACCTAGAAGGATTACGCCGCAGCGATCTGTGCGCCGAATGAGAACGGCTCCGAGAATGACTTCGACGATCACGTTCTTTATACGACAAACGCCGATCCTGTGAACTGTGAGGTGGGTAGGCATAGCCTGCAGAAGAGCGGTAGTCAGGGCTAGCTGAATCCAAGAGCGGGACTTTGAAAGGAATGGAGCAATCAGTCGCTGGTATTACGAGAGCAGGACCCGGGTTGGTCAGACAGACCAAGCGCACATCGACCTGCATATCTTCTTGTGCGAGAGGACAAGTCGTCTGTAAGGAAGCTGTCTGAGAGGGTGTCGTCTGTGACAGAAATTACAGGTTCGACAGGATTGTCTTTAAGGCGTGAGGAGCTGGTACTAGCTTTGGAATCTCCTACTTTGGAACGGCAATACGACGACAACGTTGCAGGTAAACATTAAAGCTGAGTTAGACATTCCGCACATCGGGAACCCACGGTGCACTGGTTACAACATAATGAGTGGGGATCCGATGTGGAATAAGTACGTCTGCATTCCTTACAAGCAGGACGTTGATTGTCCTTCTTTCACATATTATTTTAGGATACTCGAAACTTGCGAAGGACAATAGTTTTCTGTGATGTTCCAAACACGTCGCCACACAGTGGCGATGAGGAAGAGAATGAATTGGTAGAGGCGCACACGTGGTCAGTTCAAGCAGGCACTGTGTGCGCAAAGGCACGTAATTAACCTAGCTTTTGGATGTAGCCGTGGAGATGCAGGGCGGCTTGGATGGCTATTTTTAGTTTTAGAAGCTGGAAACATGATTCAAGCACATTCCCACATAGGATCGAAGAAGAAGGGAGAAATGCAAAGTGTGAGATAGGATAAGTTTAAAAATTCACTAACATAATCTTAATCCATTTTATTCATCTCTCAATTTTCATGTGTCATTGGCACGGCATGTGAGAGAACACTTAAGTATTTTGCTGGCGATGTGTATTCAGTAATCAGCTTGGACCAGTAATGTGAGGTGTGCTTGTTAACTAGGCTTGATTGGATGATATCATGTTGTTAGAAGCTATACTGCCTTTGATGTGACTGCATCAATGGCAGTCAGGTCAGTTAATTGTGTGAGAAGTGACTTGAAGTTTGACGAGTGTGGCTGTGGGGATGTTATTTTCTATTTTGAACTGTTCGAGTCATCAGGGGAAGTTTATACTTAATTTGGATACTTGGGACTGCTAAATGAGTTCGAGACAACCAGGAATTTGACACATCCAGTTCCAATTATATGAGTATAAATGATAATAAATATTGAAGGAATTCACAGGGACCGGAAAGTGGATTCGAGAGAACCGGGAATTCGTTTAAGTTTAACACAACGCGGTTCGACTGCATGTCCCTTCATGGCCTTCCGAATGACCAATCAGATTCCACCATTATATCCCTTGCATTTGCTTCATACCAAATGGCGACGCCCAGTCATGGTGATCTGATCGATAATCAAAAGGTATATTGTAATTAAACAGGTCTTACCTCGTGAAGTGCTCAAATGACTTGAGCACCTTCATTAAAAACATGAAAATATTTGAAAACGCCCATTTAACCGAACACATGCTATGCAAATCCTGTACTTGAATGAAATCTGCACTGTAGTTGCCATGTTGTTTACAAACATTCCGTTAAACGATTTTTATTGTACTATCGTAGATTCGTTAGTCCGTACAAAACATAACTCCAAAATCCAGGGTGGAAATTGGACTTTTCTGATCAGTAAACGCCCTTGCCAAGGGAAGATGTGATACATGATCATCATACTAAATGGAAAATTTAGATAAATGCACCAGGAGAGGTGCAAGTGTATCAGCCTATACAACATGTATACACTGTTTCCAGCAGTGTCCAGAATAGTACAACTCTTTCACAATCTGCTTCACAAGATAAGCTTTGTTTATTAAGATGATAATCTCTTACAGGAAACGTGAAGAGGAATCAAAACGTAAAATTCTCAACAATCCTGTTAAGATGAAAGAATTGCAGAAGATGGTAAGTAAATAAAGTTAATGTTCTATCAGTGCTATCATTGTCTATGAGTGGTGAATTGATCAAAGTGCTTTGTACACAAGTCAGGAGGCCCAATGTTAGGCCACATACATTCTGTTTTTTAATTCATTTATTCATATGAAAATCTATCTATTCAATGATGGCTGTAACATAGCAGGAATATTGCTGAGTGCAGCATTGGACAACAAGGAAACAGATGCTACAGTATAGTTTTTTTTAGTCCAATGCTGATTTTGCGCTGGCCTTCATAAACTCCCCCAGAGTCTACATTAAAGACATTTTGATACCCCTTAGTTTTCCAAACAATTTCAAAGCTTGTGAAGTACACCAAATATTTTATTGATAATGTATCTTGTCTGAAACAGGGAACAATTGCATGATGCTATTTCCCACGGTTCGATACCAGACAAATGAACAATTACCTTAGTATTGTTAAATAGATGCAGGAAACTATTGCATACTTCTGATTTTGCTACATAATGAAAATGTGCAATAGCTCCTAGCTGTAGATAATCAGGGCCAGGCAAACCAGTGGCTGGCTGCTTCATTAATGTCCATGGGATACAGACGGCCTTTACATTCCCATGACCACATATCTGACCTCATGTCTAGCCACAGGTGGGACAGTATGACCAGATAAGGCCATTGGTCAAGCTACAGGTTTGATCATATGTAATACATACTGCCAATGTGATGCTGAGATATGTTGCCGTTGTCATATATGTTGTCATGATGAGACCAAAGAGTTGTGTTTTTTGTCCCTTTGGTGTGTAGGTAGCTCAACAGAAGAAGGAAAAGAAAAAGAAGAAGAAACACAAACACAAACACCGACATGGTGGTTCTGATGAGGAAGATCTTGTACAGCAATATTTGTCAATACTGAGTCAAAAACAGCATCAACACTCTCAGTCAGCACAGCTACCACGCACAAAGTCTGGTAAACACAACAAACACCAGCGTAGCTCCAGTTCTGACTCTAATGACCCTCCACCAAGACACAGGAGACGCAGTCCCTCTTCTGATGCAAACAACCCTCCCCCCAGACAGTCTCGACACCAGAGAAGTAGTCCTTCAGAGGAGGAGGACTCAAGACCTTCAAAAGCATATGGTTTAATTGTATGTTCTTTGTTCTTACAAATGATGTTCTCATGAATATTTGACATTTTGTTTCAGCTCACTATCACTGAAAGCTCACAGATATCTGCATATGCACAAATGAAAATTTAATTCACAGGCAACATTTCATTGCCCTTGTAAGCATGATATACATATATATACATGTGACCGGTTCCATAGAAAGGGACCAAATGTCGTCGACTATAGAAAATAAGTTTTATCAAAAAAAGAAAATTAAAATATTTCACTATATTTTTGTAACTTAAATTAAGCAAGGGTGTAAGACAAGGAAAAAAGATGAAGTTGGATGTTTTGTTTTATTCTTAAAAAGGAAACATGATGTCTTGAAATGTGATTATGTAAACTAAATAACTTGAAAATGAGGGCTGGTCAAAAAGTTCTCAGCCTCAGCCCAACTTTCAACTATGGCCCTTAACAAAGTGAACTAGTCAATGTTGTACATTGTTTGAATAGTTCAACTGTATTTGGTCTGTTGAGGCCGTTTGTATATTAGTGACAGCCTGTTGAACGTGATAGGGGTCCAAATGGACACAGAAATTGACCAGAATGAGTACCGAGCAATCATCAAGTTTATTACTTTAGAGAAATGTACTCCCCAAGAAATTCATGACTGCATGTCACAAGTGTATGGATAAAAGCTGTGGGTATGCCCTAGCTATTCCACTGTTAAACGCTGGGTAGCTATGTTTAAGGCTGGGAGAAACAGGCCTTGATGATGACCTGAGATCTGGACATCCCTCAACTTCAATCAATGAAGATTCAATCAAGGAGATAGAAAAACTTATACTGTCAGACAGACGTATTACCATTGCTGAACTTGGGGAAGACACAGGTCTAGGCCATGGATCCATTGAAACTACTGTATTATTCATGACCATTTTCAAATGAATACGATATTTGCTCATTAGGTGCCCAAGTTTCTAAATTCTGATTTTAAGGACAAAAGAACTGACGTTGCCAGACAAAATTTAGTGCTAATTTAGGAGGATGGGTCTACCAGACATCAAAACGTCATTCCATGGAATGGCACCATTCCACTTCCCCGGCACCAAAGAAATTCAAGTCTTTAAGATCAATGAAGAAAGTTATGGCCACTGTATTCTGGAATGCAAAGGGTGTGATCATTGTTGATTACTAGAAAGTCAAAAGATGATTATCAGTGGCTACTATGCTGATTTGCTTCATCGCCTGAGAGATTCTATCAAAGAAAAGCAACCTCTCGACTTGCAAAGGCTGCTGTGAGACAATGTAGATTCGAAGAGCTTCATCGGCCTCCATACTCGCCAGACCTGGCACCAAGTGATTTCCACCTGTTTCCTAAACTGTGAAAAGATTATTGGCTATTACATCTTCGTGTTCACTTTACCACTATAACAGTGTAAAACATTTTAAGTGTAATGTGCCATCTGGCTCTTTTTATTATGTGTAACATACTCTAAAACCAACTTGTGGTCTTGTGGCATCTTTTTGTTAATAAATGATTACACTGTTTTATGATTCTTCATTTCTTTAATTCAGTACTAAATAGTTTCACGTAAAATTGAATATATGTGTGCTAGATGTTGTCAAAAACACATACACTGAGAAGAAAAATTAAATTCTGTGCCAGCAATATAGAACTTACCATGACACATGTCAGCATCTTCGCTGTGACCAAAACCATTGTGTACAGTCTTTGTATACATACACTAACAACTAAATCCATTTCAAATGACTGAAATGATGAAATGCAATCCCATATTCATATAAATAACAATTTTTTTTTTTTATTTAAATCTTACAATTTTGTTTCGAAGAAATCTTGAGAGAGTGTCAAAATTTTAACCTGTGACTTGTGGATCCTTTCTCCTTGTGCATGTTTTCACAAAATAACAATAAAAAGGCATCTTTGTTTCATCCCTTAACATTATGGTTAGGAACAGTAATGTTTGAAGGACCCCATTGACTAAAAACCTCAAAATTTCAAATGAAGCACTCAAAAAATGTCTTCCTTGGCATTAGTGTTAACAACATGTGGTCCCTTGCTTGGAACAGGTCGCATATATACAAACTTAAACATTTCACTACAGTATTGTCTTTAGATTTTCACAGTAATCAGCATTTATGAAGTGTGGAGATGAAAAGTGAGGAATATACGTACACAGATCACGTAGATGCAGATGGACATAACAGAACAAAGTGATATTCATCCTCAGTCCCAGTTCCACATACGGGGCATATATGTCGCACTTTAGAATGGAGTACCGTCTTCCTTCATTATTTCGTAATGCAAATTTAGATAAAATAACATCAAATTTTCCAAACTACTCAAAAGCAAAAACGATAAAAGAATAAACATCTCTCTTTGAACCAAAAGGGGCGGTCGGGTAGCCTAGTAGTTAAAGCGTTCGCTCGTCACGCAGAAGACCCAGGTTTGATTCCTGACATGGGTACAATGTGTGAAGCCAATTTCTGGTGTCCCCCGCCGTGATATTGCTGGAATATTGCTAAAAGCGGCGTAAAACCAAACTCACTCACTCACTCACTCACTTTTGAGCCAAATAAAAATCATTGACTCAATATTTGCCTTTTCCCGTTATTATATTTTCTTTGTGTATTCTATACACCCATCTTTTTGTGGCACAAATACTGTCCATCTGCTTTCGGTGAAATCGTTGCTGGAGTAGGGAATGAAAACAAACATTGTCAAAATGTCAGTGTAACTGAAACTTTTGCAGATGAAGGGTTACTAGATTCAATTATTTTCCTTTACAGATTTTTGGCTTACCTGATGTAAAGTCAAAGTCAAGTGAATTAATGTCATGATGCATTGTCTGTCATCTGTCCATCTTTAGTCAATATTTTTGACATGGCAGACATATTGAAATTTTCCCATTAATTTACGAACCATACATGATTCATTAAGAACTTTGCTATTGCACCATCATGTGGTATGTGGAATAAATTACAATGCAGTTTGTGGCAAATTTAGTTTCTTGATCCCACTACACCATTTGACCTTAATGCACTCACCTTTCAAAGTGTTATTGTATTTTTGACATCTCTATGAAACTACAAAGCCTTTGATGCTGACTACATGAATGATCACAGCTTCACATATTGCATTCACAGTGAAAACTAGGGATTGTTGAAACTAGTATGTAACCTCATAAAGAGTTGTGTACAATCTACCTGGGAAAGGGCCTCCCTACATAAATGTTTTCCTTGATGAGTAAAATACTTTAATACAATATTTGGTAGTGTAGGATTTGGAATATTTAAGGATTTTTTGTCTATTTTTAAAAAATGGAAATTAAAATTGAAACCTGTGGTGAACTTTATGATGATGTTGCAGTGCCTGAGAACCAAGACTATTATTTGTTTTAGCCTAATTGCCAGAAATCCTGTATTTTGGCTGTCGTCACACTATACAAATTCTTTGCATGCATTGTTCATGGATTGGACAGTATCTTCGCATTTGCCTTTCCCTCTTGGCTTCTATAGGAGTTATTTGGAAGATCGAGGATACAGACTGCACAATCATTCTCATAACGCCAGTATGGACAGCCTGCCCATTGTTACCCAAACTGTTTCCGTTACTCCTGGATGAAGCCCTCAGACTAATGGAGCACCGAGATCTCCTCATCCAACCAAGATCAGACATCATGTATGGAAGCGTACACTCCCTTCACCTTCATGCTTAAAAGCTATCTTGCAGAAAATACAGTCTTCCGGCTACACCAGATCTGCTTCACTGGCGGTTGCTTGTTCTTGGAGACCATACTTGTCCGCCATCTATGACAACAGAAGGTGCAAGTTCTGTTAGCGGTGAAGTAGACGAGGATAGTTGTGGGACCTGTAACTGTATCTATGGATCACCTTTAAAGGATATCGCTCTGCCCTAACATTGGTTCTCCAGCATGACAGGCTATCTATTGTAGATCATACTCTCCTTGTTTGTAAGAGCTTCTCTGTTGGAGGTTATTAAAACCCCGCACAGTTGTTCTGTCCCCTCTCCTGGAGAAGTCGTTTTAACCATTTGGGATCGGCCATGTTGTTACAGAATACAAAGAAAACAGCCTTCATTTTAACCATGGCCATGGCCAGAGTCTCTGAACTTCATGCTCTCGACCCTCGGCCTTTTGAGAATTTTTCAGGATTATGTATACCTCATTTTGGTCAAACAAATAGAATGGTTTTGTATGGAACAACTAGGTATCCTGTAAGTACTGGATTTAAAGCAAAAACACCCATTTTGTTTTGGAGTCATGGAGTTTGCGTCAGTTTCAGTATGTAACTATCCAGGATATTACGAGATGCCACAACCCACCAATCCCTTGATTGTTGATGTTGGAAATAAGTGAAGACTTCCTGACTCCCTCACATGCACAAGGGGCTAAAGGCGGGGAGGCACTCGAAGTATCTCAACTACTAATTATGGATAATTGACAGTGAAGAGGACTTCTGTTGGATATATGAAGATTGTTTATGGTGTGATGACAGCCGAAATAAAGGATTATGGCTATGATGTAAAAGAGGTAGTATTCTTTGATTTATTGAACAATGAAAACTATTGTTTCACTTTTATGTAATGCTATGGCTGCCAATATTGCCATGATAGTCACGATAAACATGTAGTTTTGACCTCTGCATAGCCATTTATGATTTTACAATTGTGTAATATAATTAACATTCTAAGAGGAGTCTTCTTTACACTTAATGACCTTCTGATCTAATATCATAGTCAGATATATTCTAGTGAGTGTTTTGGCTCTATTTGTAGTGTGTAAAAGTGCCAGGCAGATCTGTGAAACAAACAACTGAATAAGTCTGGCCTAATCTATGTTTACTTTTGTTTATTCCAGTTTACCCCCATTTTTGTGACCTTCAAACGTAATGTTTTAAATATTTAAGAAAGATGCACGTGAGCTAAAAATCATTGTTGCTTTATTTTATGTACTGTTCAGCTTGTCTGTGTATGTCAATCAAGTATCACATCAGTGAAAATGTTCATCATCCAACTCAGTAATACCATTCACTTTGAGCAATGCTTCAAGCTGTCATTATTTATGGCAGGTAGATGCTCTTTATTGCCACAGTTAATCTTTTCAAAGTGCATCTCCTCATAATTGTCACAATGTGTATGATCATGGTAACTTGGTGCCTGTGTATTGTTTATGATTTATACAGAAAACTGTGAATCACCGATCAAGGTCCCCAGCAGTGGGTCGTCAGAGAAAGGACTCGCTATCACCTGTCAGACACAAAACCCATGGGGGTAAGTCCCGGGGTCAGCCTCCCTCCCCCTCTTACAGAAAGCCTTCACACAAACACAGGAGTCCTTCTCCACAAAGGAAACACAAAACGAGGTCTAGGAGTAGGTCTCCAAGAAGGAAGTATGGCAATCATTTGCAAAGAAAGAATCACCAGGCAAGCAGTCCCTCTCCTCAAAGAAAAAGGCATCTGGGGAAGAAGCGGTCCCCATCACCACCGAGAAGGTTTGACACAAACAGTTGAACCTTTATGCTTGTAAACATCTTGGTAAACACACAGCATTTGGTTACTGACTGTACAGTGGCTGTACAGTGGGTTGACTATAAACATGGGTGGACTGTGTACAGAAGGTGGACTGTATCAATAGAGGCTGACTGTATTAACAGGTGTTAACTGTGTATTTATAGTGGTTGACTGTATTAACAGGGGTTAATTGTGTATCTACTGGGGTTTTCTGAACTGGGGTTGTCTGTAAACTATGTTTGACTATATTAACATAAGTTGTCTGTACAGGTGTTGACTGTATTAACATAAGTTGTCTGTACAGGTGTTTACTGTATTAACATAGGTTGTCTGTACAGGTGTTGACTGTATTAACATAGGTTGTCTGTACAGGTGTTGACTGTATTAACATAGGCTGTCTGCACAGGTGTTGACTGTATTAACATAGGCTGTCTGTACAGGTGTTTACTGTATTAACATAGGTTGTCTGTACAGGTGTTGACTGTATTAACATAGGTTGTCTGTACAGGTGTTGACTGTACAGGTGTTGACTGTATTAACATAGGCTGTCTGTACAGGGGTTGACTGTATTAACATAAGTTGTCTGTACAGGTGTTGACTGTATTAACATAGGTTGTCTGTACAGGTGTTGACTGTACAGGTGTTGACTGTATTAACATAGGCTGTCTGTACAGGTGTTGACTGTATTAACATAAGTTGTCTGTACAGGTGTTGACTGTATTAACATAGGTTGTCTGTACAGGTGTTGACTGTATTAACATAGGCTGTCTGTACAGGTGTTGACTGTATTAACATAGGCTGTCTGTACAGGTGTTGACTGTATTAACATAGGTTGTCTGTACAAGTGTTGACTGTATTAACATAGGTTGTCTATACAGGTGTTGACTGTATTAACATAGGTTGTCTGTACAGGTGTTGACTGTACATCGGTTGACTGTATTAACATAGGCTGTCTGTACAGGGGTTGACTGTATTAACATAGGCTGTCTGTACAGGTGTTGACTGTATTAACATAGGTTGTCTGTACAGGTGTTGACTGTATTAACATAGGTTGTCTGTACAGGTGTTGACTGTATTAACATAGGTTGTCTGTACAGGTGTTGACTGTATTAACATAAGTTGTCTGTACAGGTGTTGACTGTAATAACATAGGCTGTCTGTACAGGTGTTGACTGTACAGGGGTTGACTGTATTAACATAGGTTGTCTGTACAGGTGTTGACTGTATTAACATAGGTTGTCTGTACATGTGTTGACTGTATTAACATAGGTTGTCTGTACAGGTGTTGACTGTATTAACATAGGCTGTCTGTACAGGTGTTGACTGTATTAACATAGGCTGTCTGTACAGGTGTTGACTGTATTAACATAGGCTGTCTGTACAGGTGTTGACTGTATTAACATAGGCTGTCTGTACAGGTGTTGACTGTATTAACATAGGCTGTCTGTACAGGTGTTGACTGTATTAACATAGGTTGTCTGTACAGGTGTTGACTGTATTAACATAGGTTGTCTGTACAGGTGTTGACTGTATTAACATAGGTTGTCTGTACAGGTGTTGACTGTATCAACATAAGTTGTCTGTACAAGTGTTGACTGTATTAACATAGGTTGTCTGTACAGGTGTTGACTGTACAGGTGTTGACTGTATTAACATAGGTTGTCTGTACAGGTGTTGACTGTATTAACATAGGTTGTCTGTACAGGTGTTGACTGTATTAACATAGGCTGTCTGTACAGGTGTTGACTGTATTAACATAAGTTGTCTGTACAGGTGTTGACTGTATTAACATAGGCTGTCTGTACAGGTGTTGACTGTACAGGTGTTGACTGTATTAACATAGGTTGTCTGTACAGGTGTTGACTGTATTAACATAGGTTGTCTGTACAGGTGTTGACTGTATTAACATAAGTTGTCTGTACAGGTGTTGACTGTATTAACATAGGCTGTCTGTACAGGTGTTGACTATTAACATAGGTTGTCTGTACAGGTGTTGACTGTATTAACATAGGTTGTCTGTACAGGTGTTGACTGTATTAACATAGGTTGTCTGTACAGGTGTTGACTGTATTAACATAGGTTGTCTGTACAGGTGTTGACTGTATTAACATAAGTTGTCTGTACAGGTGTTGACTGTATTAACATAGGCTGTCTGTACAGGTGTTGACTGTACAGGTGTTGACTGTATTAACATAGGTTGTCTGTACAGGTGTTGACTGTATTAACATAGGTTGTCTGTACAGGTGTTGACTGTATTAACATAAGTTGTCTGTACAGGTGTTGACTGTATTAACATAGGCTGTCTGTACAGGTGTTGACTGTACAGGGGTTGACTGTATTAACATAGGTTGTCTGTACAGGTGTTGACTGTATTAACATAGGTTGTCTGTACAGGTGTTGACTGTATTAACATAGGTTGTCTGTACAGGTGTTGACTGTACAGGGGTTGACTGTATTAACATAGGTTGTCTGTACAGGTGTTGACTGTATTAACATAGGTTGTCTGTACAGGTGTTGACTGTATTAACATAGGTTGTCTGTACAGGTGTTGACTGTATTAACATAGGTTGTCTGTACAGGTGTTGACTGTATTAACATAGGTTGTCTGTACAGGTGTTGACTGTATTAACATAGGCTGTCTGTACAGGTGTTGACTGTATTAACATAGGCTGTCTGTACAGGTGTTGACTGTATTAACATAGGCTGTCTGTACAGGTGTTGACTGTATTAACATAGGCTGTCTGTACAGGTGTTGACTGTATTAACATAAGTTGTCTGTACAGGTGTTGACTGTATTAACATAGGCTGTCTGTACAGGTGTTGACTGTACAGGTGTTGACTGTATTAACATAGGTTGTCTGTACAGGTGTTGACTGTATTAACATAGGTTGTCTGTACAGGTGTTGACTGTATTAACATAAGTTGTCTGTACAGGTGTTGACTGTATTAACATAGGCTGTCTGTACAGGTGTTGACTGTACAGGTGTTGACTGTATTAACATAAGTTGTCTGTACAGGTGTTGACTGTATTAACATAGGCTGTCTGTACAGGTGTTGACTATTAACATAGGTTGTCTGTACAGGTGTTGACTGTATTAACATAGGTTGTCTGTACAGGTGTTGACTGTATTAACATAGGTTGTCTGTACAGGTGTTGACTGTATTAACATAGGTTGTCTGTACAGGTGTTGACTGTATTAACATAAGTTGTCTGTACAGGTGTTGACTGTATTAACATAGGCTGTCTGTACAGGTGTTGACTGTACAGGTGTTGACTGTATTAACATAGGTTGTCTGTACAGGTGTTGACTGTATTAACATAGGTTGTCTGTACAGGTGTTGACTGTATTAACATAAGTTGTCTGTACAGGTGTTGACTGTATTAACATAGGCTGTCTGTACAGGTGTTGACTGTACAGGGGTTGACTGTATTAACATAGGTTGTCTGTACAGGTGTTGACTGTATTAACATAGGTTGTCTGTACAGGTGTTGACTGTATTAACATAGGTTGTCTGTACAGGTGTTGACTGTACAGGGGTTGACTGTATTAACATAGGTTGTCTGTACAGGTGTTGACTGTATTAACATAGGTTGTCTGTACAGGTGTTGACTGTACAGGGGTTGACTGTATTAACATAGGTTGTCTGTACAGGTGTTGACTGTATTAACATAGGTTGTCTGTACAGGTGTTGACTGTATTAACATAGGTTGTCTGTACAGGTGTTTACTGTATTAACATAGGTTGTCTGTACAGGTGTTGACTGTATTAACATAGGCTGTCTGTACAGGTGTTGACTGTATTAACATAGGCTGTCTGTACAGGTGTTGACTGTATTAACATAGGCTGTCTGTACAGGTGTTGACTGTATTAACATAGGCTGTCTGTACAGGTGTTGACTGTATTAACATAAGTTGTCTGTACAGGTGTTGACTGTATTAACATAGGCTGTCTGTACAGGTGTTGACTGTACAGGTGTTGACTGTATTAACATAGGTTGTCTGTACAGGTGTTGACTGTATTAACATAGGTTGTCTGTACAGGTGTTGACTGTATTAACATAAGTTGTCTGTACAGGTGTTGACTGTATTAACATAGGCTGTCTGTACAGGTGTTGACTGTACAGGTGTTGACTGTATTAACATAGGTTGTCTGTACAGGTGTTGACTGTATTAACATAGGTTGTCTGTACAGGTGTTGACTGTATTAACATAGGTTGTCTGTACAGGTGTTGACTGTATTAACATAGGTTGTCTGTACAGGTGTTGACTGTATTAACATAAGTTGTCTGTACAGGTGTTGACTGTATTAACATAGGCTGTCTGTACAGGTGTTGACTGTACAGGTGTTGACTGTATTAACATAGGTTGTCTGTACAGGTGTTGACTGTATTAACATAGGTTGTCTGTACAGGTGTTGACTGTATTAACATAGGCTGTCTGTACAGGTGTTGACTGTATTAACATAGGCTGTCTGTACAGGTGTTGACTGTATTAACATAAGTTGTCTGTACAGGTGTTGACTGTATTAACATAGGCTGTCTGTACAGGTGTTGACTGTACAGGTGTTGACTGTATTAACATAGGTTGTCTGTACAGGTGTTGACTGTATTAACATAGGTTGTCTGTACAGGTGTTGACTGTATTAACATAAGTTGTCTGTACAGGTGTTGACTGTATTAACATAGGCTGTCTGTACAGGTGTTGACTGTACAGGTGTTGACTGTATTAACATAGGTTGTCTGTACAGGTGTTGACTGTATTAACATAGGTTGTCTGTACAGGTGTTGACTGTATTAACATAGGTTGTCTGTACAGGTGTTGACTGTATTAACATAGGTTGTCTGTACAGGTGTTGACTGTATTAACATAAGTTGTCTGTACAGGTGTTGACTGTATTAACATAGGCTGTCTGTACAGGTGTTGACTGTACAGGTGTTGACTGTATTAACATAGGTTGTCTGTACAGGTGTTGACTGTATT